CACACTTGGGTACTTGTCCCACCTCCGCCTGGAAAATCTGTTGTTGGTTGTCGGTGGGTATTTAATGTTAAAGTGGGCCCTGATGGACAGGTGGATAGATTGAAAGCTCGTCTTGTGGCTAAGGGATACACGCAAGTATATGGTTTGGATTACAGCGACACCTTCTCTCCAGTTGCGAAGATGGCCTCAGTTCGTCTCTTCTTAGCTATGGCTGCTATGAGGCATTGGCCTTTGTTTCAATTAGACATCAAAAATGCCTTCTTACATGGTGATTTGGAGGAGGAGATTTATATGGATCAACCTCCTGGGTTTGTTGCTCAAGGGGGGTCTGGTCTTGTATGTAAATTACAAAAGTCCTTGTATGGCCTCAAACAATCACCTCGTGCTTGGTTTGGTCGGTTTAGCAAAGTTATACAGGAATTTGGAATGATCCGCTGCGAGACAGACCACTCTGTTTTCTTTAGACGCTCATCGACACATAGATTTATCTATCTTGTTGTTTATGTAGATGATATTGTGATTACAGGTGATGATCAGGAGGGCATCAAGGCACTGAAGCAACACTTATTTAAACACTTTCAAACTAAGGATTTAGGTCCCCTACGTTATTTCCTCGGGATTGAGGTCGCTCAGTCAAAGTCCGGTATTGCTATTTCTCAGAGAAAATATGCCCTTGATATTCTAGAAGAGACCGGACTTACAGATTGTAAGCCAGTTGACACTCCCATGGATCCTAATGTGAAGCTTATGCCTAATCAGGGGGAGCCTTATCCTGACCCAGGGAGATATCGGAGATTAGTGGGCAAATTGAATTATCTCACCATGACCAGACCTGATATATCCTTTCCTGTCAGCGTTGTAAGTCAGTTTCTTAACTCTCCCTGTGAGAGTCATTGGCTTGCAGTTGTTCGAATCCTTAGATACATCAAAAGATCACCAGGAAAAGGACTTGTTTACAATGATAGAGGACATACAAACATTGTTGGATATTCAGATGCAGATTGGGCAGGTGATGCAAGTGATAGGCGGTCAACATCAGGCTATTGTGTCTTCATGGGTGGTAATCTTGTCTCATGGAAGAGTAAAAAGCAAAGTGTTGTTGCACGATCAAGTACAGAAGCAGAATATCGTGCTATGGCTCACACCACATGTGAGCTCTTGTGGCTAAAATTCTTAATTCAAGAGTTGCAGTTTTGCAAGGTTGGTCATATGGAACTAGTTTGTGATAACCAGTCAGCTTTATACCTCTCCTCTAATCCAGTTTTTCATGAGAGAACAAAGCATATAGAGGTTGACTGCCATTTCATCAGAGAAAAGATCCTCTCCGGTATCATCAAGACCTCCTCAGTTTGCTCCAAGGATCAACTTGCAGATATCTTTACTAAATCTTTACGTGGTCCTAGGATAACATATATATGTAACAAGCTAGATGCATATGATATATATGCTCCAGCTTGAGGGGGAGTGTTAAGATAATTCTATAAGATATAGTTTAGATATACTAGTTTATCTTCTCTTTAGTTAGTTTTATCTAAATCCCTAAACTTTAGGGATTGATTATGTTTTCTGCCTATTTATTTTATTGTACCTATTCAGATTCAATAATAAGAAATTATTCATATTCAAGTATAACAATAGAATATTCTAGTAGGCCAGCTGTCATAGTTTTTTTTTTTTTTTAATTAGCATTTTCAGCTGTATCAATAGTGGTGGCTTATATATATGCTCTTATTGTATTCTGTTTTGGTGAACAATGAAATGAAAAACTTCATTACCGGTTTAACTTTTTTCTCTCTCATTCTTCTTTAAGATTATAGAAAAATAGGCATAATAAGTGATACTGTTGAACAAAAGCTGGCCCAAGTTGTTACACTTGGACAAACGAAAGCCAAGCATTATAAGGTTGCCAAACCCAAGTACTTTCAATTAAAAACTACCAACACAAAAAACTTGAGTATGCCATCTTCCAATTGAATAAAAACAAACAATTTTGGTAAAGAAATTAGTGAGTGTGACAGGGGGAGAGAGAGGTGGAGAGAAATATTAATAAAAGGGGGAATAGTAAATTTCAAAGTGCATTATGCAATATAAAGTTGGGAATATGATATGAGAACCCAAAAGCTTAAGCTATTAGGCTAAGATAAATGGTTTGTATATTATATTCCAACACATCTGCTCATGTAAGATCAATTTGGTCTTGAAGCACAGACAATGCATAGCACCGGTTATCTTGTGCTCAAATTCATCCTTCTTTTAATTAGAAAATGATTTAGGCTTAATTCAATTACAAAAGCTAGTTAAAGGAGAAGAATTAAATTATCTATATACCTAGCTGAGGTGGGATTTTAACACATCCCAATATGCCAAAAATTGGACTTCTGGAATGTAATGTTTGCAGGAATGGACATTTGGGGATAGCTCAACAAAAAGATTTCAAAGTATTCTACTAAAATACTCATAGCCTATGTTTGGATCAAAAGTGGGAACATACTTTTGGGAATTCCAATCCACATTCCTGAATTTCAAAGTACAAAATAATGAAAGAAGAAATTGTTGCTTCGGGAGTAAAAGTACTTTTGAGCTCCCCCAACTGGCTTCCAAACATGCACATAGTTTGTAAAACATGTCCACATTTATAAGAATGACCATATCTTAAAAAATAAAAAAATAAAGATTCTAATAAAATAAGCAACCTTTGTAGTCCATACCATTGATGGAATCCTTGCACTTTATTATATCAAGTAGAAAAAAATGGTATAACTTTTATCTTCATTCATCATACAAGTCACAACTTCCATGTTATCTTCAATTGAACTCTTGATTTTAAAATACATATACAGTGAACATTAGACAAGCATATAATCAACATTGTAGTAAATGCTACAATAAAAAGAAATTGTAATGAAGCACTTACAGGCAAGGCTTTAATATATTCCAATATAAGCTTAAAGCTTCTCAAATCCTGTTTCACTGTTGCATTTATTTCAGCAGGCCTCTGAAAAAGAATGAATGGAGGATCAGCAGACTAAAATTATACACTATTTACAAATATAAAAAAAAGTAAAAATAGGGGGGGAAAGTGGAAAAATTATATTAAAGAAAAAAGGAAATTGAGGACCTCTGTAAATTCTTGCACGTGTTTAGAAATTCACAAGGTAAGGAAGATAATAGTCATTAAAAATGTATAGGATAATATAGTGATGGCATCAAATTTGGAAGGTTGGTATGCATGAAGTTGTTGTTAGATTTCAACTTAAAACCAATTGACATTAAGCAAAGTTGCCTAACAGATATATAAACAGCACCCGAAGAATTGAGGCAAGTAATGTGAGACTTTTCCAACACCCTCCCTCCATAAATGTTGTTGAACCAAACAATGCCTACCAAAATATGTCAACCAAGAAGATGGGTTCTAGGCTCTGATACCATGTTAGATTTCAACTTAAAACCAATTGGCATTAAGTGAAGCTGCCTAACAAATATGTTAAAAGAGAGAAATAGGGAACACATTTTCTGATTATGCTTGAGTGTATTTTTCCACTCAGCACAATGATCTTATTTATAATTGTTAAGATAATTCTATAAGATATAGTTTAGATATACTAGTTTATCTTCTCCTATTTTCTAGTTTAGTTTCCTTAGTTAGTTTTATCTAAATCCTTAAACTTTAGGGATTGATTATGTTTTATGCCTGTTAGAATAGTGGATTAAGCCTAACTCAACCCTACAAAACCGGCTTGTAAGGTGAGGGTTGCTTTCCACTTATATACTATTCAATTGCCTAATCTCTAGTCGATGTGGGACTTGGGGTTTTCCCAATACACCCCCTCACGTCCAGCACTATTGGGCTTGGTATGTGGATAAATGGTGGGCGGCCCTTTTTAATGATCTAGGATTGGCGGGACTTGGGTTTTTCCCAATACACCCCCTCACACCTATGAGGCATGCATCAATGGTGGGTGGCCCATTTTTAAAGTGGATCTAAATGGCTCTGATACCATGTTAGAATAGTGGATTAAGCCTAACTCAACCCTACAAAACCGGCTTGTAAGGTGAGGGTTGCTTTCCACTTATATACTATTCAATTGCCTAATCTCTAGTCGATGTGAGACTTGGGTTTTTCCCAATACACCCCCTCACGTCCAGCACTATTGGGCTTGGTACGTGGATAAATGGTGGGTGGCCCTTTTTAATGATCTAGGATTGGCGGGACTTGGGTTTTTCCCAATACACCCTTTTTTTTAACGAGAAGTGTGGATAAATATATTGGAATGCCTAATGATAAATAACATTGTGAATAAACCCTAAGCAGGTCACCAATACTTCCCATCTTGGTCAACGTGGAGCAAATAATATCTACATGCATATATATTTACAAGACAAATAATGACACGTAGCAGCTGTACAAATTATGGACGGTGCAATAGTTCGTTTCCTTGATGCCAGTGTACAAAACTCCCCAACATTGGTAGCAGAGCCAATGGTTCGACCAAGTGACTGGTGATCGGCTCAGACGAGTATTGGTTGGATCTAAGAGTGGGATACTGAATAGAATTGGCAGGAGATCCAAGAGTAGGATCATCCCTTGTACTGAAAGTCTCCCTAGAGGTGTGGAGGACGTGTATCGTTGAAGTGCAACGATAGTGCAAGTAAGGCCACCATTAAATACTCGTGGACGAAAGAAAAAAAGCTTCTGCTTGAGGAGGAGTGTGACCATGTGGAAGGGATTCACACTTGAGGGGGAGTGTTGGAGTTCAAGTGTGAAGTGAAGTCCCACATTGGTTAGAGTTGGGCATGTTGAGTAATATATAAGTGAGAAAGACCCACCTACCTAATGCCTTAAGGTTTTAGGTTATGTTGTGGTGTCAAGCTCACTTGTGTGACTTACTCACTACTCATTATGTGGAATGCTCCCCAGTGTTCTAAACTCCCCAACATTGGTATCAGAGTCGATGGTTCGACCAAGTGACTGGTGATCGGCTCAGACGAGTATTGGTTGGATCTAAGAGTGGGATCCTGAATGGAATTGGCAGGAGATCCAAGAGTAGGATCATCCCTTGTACTGAAAGTCTCCCTAGAGGTGTGGAGGAGGTGTGTCGTTGAAGTGCAACGATAGTGCAAGTAAGGCCACCATTAAATACTCGTGGACGAAAGAAAAAAAGCTTCTGCTTGAGGAGGAGTGTGACCATGTGGAAGGGATTCACACTTGAGGGGGAGTGTTGGAGTTCAAGTGTGAAGTGAAGTCCCACATTGGTTAGAGTTGGGCATGTTGAGTAATATATAAGTGAGAAAGACCCACCTACCTAATGCCTTAAGGTTTTAGGTTATGTTGTGGTGTCAAGCTCACTTGTTGAACTCCAACATGCTTTGATACCATGTTGGAGTTCAAGTGTGAAGTGAAGTCCCACATTGCTATTTATTTTATTCTACCTATTCAGATTCAATAATAAGAAATTATTCATATTCAAGTTAGTACCAGAGCACTCTGGTCCAGGAACCCTAATCCAGCCACCAACATCTAGGGTTTTTGACTTTTGTCGGCAGTTGTCGAAGTTGACACTGCCTGTACATTCAGAGGTCGCCGATCGGCCTCTCCGTCGCGAGCCACCACCAGCCGCCGTCTCACGCGCCCTCATGCGCGATTCTTGTTGAGGAAGCTCGCCGGCGTGTGGGGTTCACGCGCAACCCTCCAGGCCTCCATTTGCGATGTGGTTCACTCTGTTGGACTCGTCGGCCCTACCTCTTCTCGTTTTGACCCTTTTCAGGTTGTCGGTCACACTCTAGGTGGTTTGTTGGTGGTTGTTTGGCTGCTGCCTCAAAGTTCCATGGTCGTTTGGTGGCTGTCTCAGAGCTTCGTGGTCGTTTGGTTTCTGTTTCGGAGTTCCGTGATCGTTTGGTTGTTGTCTCGGAGTTTCGTGGTCGTTTGGTTGCCTCTTGGAGAAAGATTTCATCCTGATGTGTTTGAAAAAGACCTATTTAGCTTTTATAACTGCGCATATGGGCCCTTCTGGTACGCCTGTTTCCCCTTCAGAACATATTGCTTTTCTCATGTATTGGTTATCAGCGTGTGTCTTCTGCACTCCTTCACTCCAAGTCCCAAAATATTATTATAATTTAGCCCAAGCTGATGGACTCCTTCCACCAAGGGGTTGATGATGGACGTCCAAGGTGGGAAGAATCTCCTTGCTAAGGCCAAAATGATGACCTTAAGGGTGGATGTTCCTTCAAGGGTGAGGCAAAAAAGGAAGGTGGGCGTAAATGGATTGATTTGGGCGAATATGAGAGATAAATGGAGGATGGTGTTTTTGGGTGTTCTAGTTGGCTCTCTTCATCAAGTGGGGATGAAGGCCACTCAAGGGAACCCTAAACTCACTCTAGGGAGGAGATAGGAGAGGTAGGCCGTGTAGACCTAGTGACTAAGGAGAGGATTTGAGGCAAAAATGCTCACTCAAATTCATATATTCCAAAGTATTTACAAGGGGTGGGGTGTTGGGTATTTATAGGAGGGGAGGCATCTAGGGTTGCATTTGGAGTAGGCAAATGCATTCCAAATGAAATGCAAATGAACCCTAGATGCAACTTGGT